CAATTTGCAACCCAGTTCTCTGTCCTTGGGGCACACAAGCCTTTGATGGATATTTAGGACCAGAGCAGAGTAAATGGAAGGCTGAGGATGCTCCCTTTCTTGTGAAGGCCTATTAAGATTCACAGCTGGGCTCAGTGCCTGTGGCTCAAGCGGCTAAGGCGCCAGCCACATACACCTAGGGTGGCGGGTTCGAATCCAGTCCGGACGAGCCAAACAACAATAATGGCTGCAACCAAAAAATAGCTGGGCATTGTGGTGGGCGCCTGTGGTCCCAGCTACTTGGGAGGCAGAGGCAGGAGACTCACTTGAGCCCAGGAGTTGGAGGTTGCTATGAACTGTGATGCCACGGCACTCTACCCAGGGGGATAGCTTGAGGCTCTGTCTCAAAAAAAAAAGATTCACAGCTGGACATACTAATTGATCAAGGAAAAGATGACCAGTTTCTTCGAGATGGACACTTACTCCCTGATAACTTCATAGCTGCCTGCACAGAACATCCCCATTGTTTTTAGATTACAAGAGGGTTATGATCCCAGCTACTACTTCATTGCAACTTTATTGCTGATCGTGTCAGACATCATGCAAAATACCTGAATGCATGAAAGGCTTCAGGGTTATAAAAGTTGTAAAAACAGCAACAACAAAAAGATTTCAAAATGTTAGATTTTATAATGCCAAAAGAGCTTTGTTCTGTGGTTAAATCACGTTCTGAATAAAGACATAAAACTTAAAAAAAAAAAACAAAGAAAGAAAAAGAAAGCAGCAGGAGCCCCTTTGGGCACCATTGCACCAAGCTTTCAGCTGTGCACAGTCTGGCCAGGCTGTCAGCAAGTTACCCTGCCCCAGGACTTTAGGACTCCTTGAATGGAAATTACCTCTCTGCTCAAACATGGTGCTGATATGTTGCCCATTTGTTGTTGGCAGGGAAGGAAATCAACTCTGTGCACATCAGAACAATTCAGGGAGAATGCTGGCTCAGATAGTACTTCCCCCATAGCAGGACTGATAAATGCCAACACCTAAACAGGTGACAATAACACTATGTGGTAAGTACAAGAGTGAGAATAACAACTAATCTTAGCACAGCACTCTGTTCGCAAGGAACATTCATATCTATCCCCCAATTTGCTCTTCATATCACTCCTTTGAGGTAGGTACTATCATTGCTATTTCACAGATGAAAAAACTGAGGCTTAAAGAAGTTATTTCAGGCTTCAGAAGTTATTTCACACCCATTATCCTTGAACTCTGGGAGGCTGATGGGGGTGGATTGCTTGAGCTTATGAGTTTGAGACCTACTTGAGCAAAAGTGGAGACCCTGTCTGTACTAAAAATAGAAAATCTGAGGCAATAGGATCACTTGAGCCCAAGAGTTGGAGGTTGCTGTGAGCTATGATGCCACTGCACTCTACCTAGGGTGACTGAGTGAGAGTCTGCCTCAAAAAAAGAATTCAAGATCAACGTGAGCCTTGGCGCCCATAGCACAGTGGTTATGGCACCAGACACATACACCGAGGCTGGCAGGTTCGAACCCAGCCTGGGCCTGCTAAACAACAATGACAATTGCAACAACAACAACAACAAAATAGCCAGGCATTGTGGCAGGCACCTGTAGTCTTAGCTACTTGGGAGGCTGAGACAAGAGAATCGCTTAAACCCAAGAGTTTGAGGTTGCTGTGAGCTGTGATGCCACAGTACTCCACCAAGAGGGACACAGTGAGACTCTGTCTAAAAAAAAGAAAAAAATAGATCAACCTGAGCAAGAACCAGACCTTATCTGCACTAAAAATAATAAAAACTAGTCTTGGCACCCATAGCACAGTGGTTACAGATCCAGCCACATACACTGAGGGTGGCAGGTTTGAACCCAGCCCAAGCCAGCTAAGCAACAATGACAACTGCAACAACAACCAAAAAAGCCAGCCACTGTGGTGGCACCTGTGGTCCTAGCTACTTGGGAGGCTGAGGCAAGAGAATTGGTTAAGCTTAAGAGTTTGAGGTTGCTGTGAGCTGTGGCACCACGGTACTCTACCTAGAGCAACATAGTGGGACTCTGTCACAAAAAAATAAAAATAAAAATAGAAAAACTAGCTGGGTGTTGTGGTGGGCACTGGTGGTCCCAGCTACCCAGGAGGCTGAGGCAAGAGGATCACATGAACCCAGGAGTTTGAGGTTTCTGTGAGCTAGGTTAACCCCATGGCACTCAATCCAAGTGACAGAGTAAGACTCTGTCTCAAAAAAAAAAAAAAAAAAAAAAGAAGAAGAAGTTATTTCATATGAAAGAAATGGGCATGTATTGTTTTGTCCTCTCTCTGCTTCCATCCTCCTTCTTTTGGAACTGGACCCCTGTGTTTCCTTCGCCACCAAAACCCACTGCTTACCATTGATTGGGTCAATATGAGAACCTGACATTAGTCTTTGAGAGTCAAGCTTAGAAACTGTAGAAAGGGAGAAACTCTCCTTTTTTTTGAGACAGAGCCTCAAGCTGTCCCCCTGGGTAGAGTGTTCTGGCTTCACTGCTCACAGCAACCTCCAACTCCTGGGCTCAAGCGAGTCTCCTGCCTCAGCCTCCCAAGTAGCTGGGACCACAGGCACCTGCCACAATGTCCGGTTATTTTTTGGTTGCAGCCATCATTGTTGTTTGGCAGACCCGGGCTGGATTCAAACCCGCCACCTTAGGTGTATATGGCTGGCGCCTTAGCCACTTGAGCCACAGGCACCAAGCCAGGAGAAACCCTTAAAGCCAAGTTGTGAATCTAAAGTTAAAGGCTGCCATAATAAAATATATTTATATATTACGTATAAATTTTAAACCAACAGAAGAAAATTCAGCTTACCCAATGGAAAGCAGAAATGAAGATTGAAAAAATTTTTCAATGTATAGTAAAGGTTTAATAGTACTAATTCTTAATATATAGCAATTACATCAAATGTAAAGAAGTGAATCTCACCAACTGGATTTGTAAAAATTACATCCCCAGCTGGACACAGTGACTCATGTCTGTAATCCTAGTACTTGGGGAGGCCCAGGTGGGAGGATTGTTTGAGGTCAGGAGTTCAAAACTAGACTGGGCAACAAAGTGAGACCCTGTTTCACAAAAATATATATATATAAAAATTTAAAAATTCAAAAGTAAATAAAAGAAAAAATTATGTTCAACAACAAACTGACTGTAAGAGACATACTCAAAACATAAAGAGATAGAAAGTCTAAAAATAAAAAGATGAAAAAAAAGATACACCAGGCAAATGGGAACTGAATTGTAATCTTAACATCTGTCAAAGAGGAATTTTAGTTTCAAAAGATAAGAGAGAAAAAGTCGTTATATATTCATAGAACAAACAATAGACAAACAGATATACCTAATCAAACAGTCGGAAAGTATACAGAACTACAAAAAAAATGCATAATTTTTTTTTTTAATAGAGACAGAGTCTCACTTTATCTCCCTTAGGAGAGTTCTGTGGTGTCACAGCTCATAGCAACCTCCAACTCCTATACTTAGGTGATTCTCTTGCCTCAGCCTCCCGAGTAGCTGGGACTACAGGCGCCCGCCACAATGCCTGGCTATTTTGTTGTTGTTGTTGTTGCAGTTTAGCTGGGGCTGGGTTTGAACCCGCCACCTTTGGTATATGGGACTGGCGCCCTACCCACTGAGCCACAGGTGCCGCCTAAAATATGCATAATTGTAACTGACGATTTTAATATTCCCCTCTCAGAAACACATTGAGGATTGAACAGTATTATTACCATATTTACATCTTATATAAGGGTAGACTCTAGAAGGATTAAAAACATAATAAATGTGAAAAGAAAAATTATAAAGAAAAATCTAGGGGCCAGGAGCAATGAATGGCTCATCCCTATTAATCCTAGCACTTTGGTAGGCCAAGGTGGGATGATTCCTGGAGCTCAGAAATTCAAGACCGAACTGAGAAAGAGTGAGACCCTCGTCTCTAAAAACTAGCTGGGCATTGTGGCGGGCACCTGTAGTCCCAGCTACTTGGGAGGCTGAGGCAAGAAGATCTCTTGAGCCTAAGAGTTTGAGGTTGCTATGAGCTATGATGCCATGGCACTCTACCAGGAGTAAGAAAGTGAGACCCTGTCTCAAGAAAATAATGTTTCATAATGCCGGGGGTTGTGGGGATGCTGTCACTCTTATACTGGGTGGTGAGAGTATGGGATGGTGTGGCCCTTATGGAAGGCAATGTGACATAAGGTGTTACAAATTACAGACTCAGTATACTCCATGAGCCTGAAGTTGCACTTCTGAGATACATACATATATGTCAGAGAAATTCTTATGCAGGCACATAAAGGGATGTACATTAAAATATTCACTGTGTGTTATTTATGTTGAGGGAGACTTAGAGGCAAGCTGGTTGTCTATCATAGGGAGAGTAGGTAGCTAAAATGTGGCAGGTATCATATCATAAAGTATCACACAGCAATCAAAAGCAATGGGTTAGGTTCGGCACCTGTGGCTCAAGCAGCTAGGGTGCCAGCCACATACACTGGAGTTGGCAGGTTCGAGTCCAGCCAGGCCCGCCAAACAACAATGACAACTACAACCAAAAAATAGCTAGGTGTTGTGGTGGGCACTTGTAGTCCCAGCTACTTGGGAGGCTGAGACAAGAGAATTGCTTGGACCAGGAGTTTTAGGTTGCCGTGAGCTGTGACATCATAGCACCCTACCCAGGGCAATAACTTGGAACTCTGTCTCAAAAAAAAAAAAAAAAAAGCCATGGGTTAGATGCATACACAGCAACATGAATGCATTTTTTTTTTTTGAGACAGAATCTCATTCTATCACCCCAGGCCGGGGCACAATAGCACCATCATAGCCCACTGCAACCTCAAGTAATCCTCCCAATTCAGCCTCCCACGCAGCCAGAATTACAGGCATGACCCACTGTGCCTAGCTAATTTTTAAAAGTTTCTTTTTTAGAAATGGGGATCTCACCATGTTGCCCAGGCTGATCTCAAACTCCTGGTCTCAAGTGATTCTCCTGCCTCAGTCTCCCAAAAATGAATGCATTTTAAAAACATAGTGCTCACCTCCCCTCAGCCACGCCTAGAGTAGAGAGGCCAGGCATCCTCCCTGTGAGGGAGGCCTTCAAGTAAGGGGCCTCGCCTGGGCTATCCAAGCCTCACATTGACAACAGCAACAACAAAATAAACATAGTGCTTAGTGAAAAATATGAAGAAAATAATAAGATTTAAAGTATATGCCATTTATACTTTAAGTTAAATTAAATTAAAAATGTATACACATAGGCTTGGCACCTGTAGCTCAGCAGCTAGGGCGCCAGCCACATACACCGGAGCTGGCAGGTTCAAATCCAGCCTGGGCCTACCAAACACTGACAACTGCAACCAAAAAATAGCCGAGCATTGTGGTGGGCGCCTGTAGTCCCAGCTACTTGGGAGGCTGAGGCAAGATAATCGCTTAAGCCCAAGAGTTGGAGGTTGCTGTGAGCTGTGATGCCACAGAACTCTACCTAGGGTGACATAGTGAGACTCTACCTCAAAAAAAAAAAATACACACAAATTAAAAATATATACACATAGGCTCGGTGCCCATATCCCAGTGGTTAGGGCGCTGAGATATATATATACACACATAAAGCAAAAATTCACCCTACTCCACCACCCTACCCTGTCTCTACAAAAATAGAAAAAATTAGCCAAGCATGATGGCAGGTACCTGTAGTTTCAGCTACTCAGGAGGCTGAGGCAGGAGGATGGTGTGAGTCCAGGAGTTCGAGGTTGCACTAAGTTCTGATGATGCCACTGTACTGTAGCCCAGGTGACAGAGAGAGACCCTGTCTCAAAACGAAACACAACAAAACAATACACCAAAACACTGGAAGAAAATACAATAAATATTGCACAGTTGTCTCTGGATTTGGGGCTAACAAGAAATTTTGACTTTCTTTCTAATACGTATCTTTTTTTTTTTTTGAGACAGAGTCTCATGCTGTCATCCTGCGTAGAGTGCTATGGCATCATAGCTCACAGCAACCTCCTAGTAAGGCTCAAGTG